CCCTAATGATGAGCATTTTTATCCGTCTCTGCTAATTTTAATTCTTTCTGACTTTCTTATTTCTTTTTGCAGATGAAAGATGGAATGCCGGAGCGGAGTGAAGAATGAAGAGTATTTAGAAAATAGGACATTTTTTCATTCTATTGTAATATTTAAATTAAATGTAAATTATTGTTTGTAATAAACAACAATTTGTACAAATAATTTTAAATATCAATAAAAATTCAAATTATCTAATTAATTCTAATTTCCTTATTGTTTATTTATTTATTTAAAATTCTTAGAATTAAAACAATTGAAAAATAAATTCAATCATCTTAGTTTCAGAATAATAAATAACTAAAATAAAACAACATTGATCCAATAAACCTGTCTTATCCAACATCCAAAGCAACGCAGCCATTAACCCAGATAGACTGATCAAACACATGAACACTGTGAATTCCAAAACTGCATCTTGCATCTGACTGGCCCAATCAAAACGTACTGAATTCAAACCACCGTCTCTTTTGCTGATCAAACCAAGATAACGCGAATTTTAATCCGAATCTCGAAATAAATCGCAAAGCGCTGTTGAATTCAAATTCTTCTGAGAATATGCCCATAAAACCCTAATTCCCGATTAAATGCCAAATCACGCTCGCTTGATCAAAATTGAACCAAAAATCAATCAAACCCTAAGCCCACTGTATGAAACAATTCAGAGTTCTGAAAATCAGTAAAAACCCTAGTTTCGCTTGACTGTCAAGAAAGGTCCGTTTGTCCGATTCTTGAGTCAGTTTGAGAAGTCAGGAAATGTTTGAAGCTGAGATTTCTTGTGGAAAAGCGCGAGGGCAAATTTTGGGGTACAACACCATGAAACTAAAAATCTCCCTCTTTGGAAAATTTTAGCTAAAACAATCAATGCATGTTAAACTTGGATATATAAACTATAATCATAAAAATGTATCAGAGACTTCATGTAGTTACATATTGCTATCTTCAAAACTTTAGAAGATTAGATGTCCAGACATGTGGTCTGACATCACATAACACATCTCTTCCATATCATAAGAGCTAGACATATCAGACATGTCCAATTCTCCCCCTGTCACACATGATGAAGACTCTCCCTCAAAGGGAAAACCCAAATCACCAGAAAATCCATGAACCACCCAAGTTCAAACATTAGAGGCTGCAATAACAGAAGATAAAAAACAACCTCACACCAGGATTTTCTCACATCAGTAAAATATCGGATAAGCTTTGTTTGGCATCTTTGCACACAACCTTCACCAGCAGTCTGCAATAGAAACTCCAGACTAGCATGACAAACTATCATGCTCCCCCTAAATAGTTTCATTTAGCAAGAAACCATAATAACTACTCTCTCCTTAGCAGTAACACAATCCTATTCTAATGCTAATTAACATGTCAAGACATGTTTAATAACATCATGACACACAAAACACACCAACACTTTACTCCCCCCTTTTAGCCAAAACTTGACAAAAATAGAGTAAATGTACAAACACAATTGAAATACACATATTTCACATAAGCAATAAACACAGATGGAAGCACAAATTGAAAACACACAATAGCAGATGGAAACACAACAACTGATGGAACCAAACTTCACCAATCTTCAGGTTGTCATCCTTCACTACAGGATGCTCATATTCTTTCAAGACAGTCTTCCAAGCTTTGTTGTCCTAAGATTTTAGAAAGGCCATCATTCTAACCATCCACCAGTCATTATTTGAACCATCCAACAGAGGTGGTTTGTTGTTATATCCTCCCTCTTTATCCATAGTACCATAAAAAATTATATCCTTTGATCTCACCCAATAAACAAGGAACCAGCTTTAATACCAATTGAAATTCTGGTGCTTTTAAAAACAAATGTTAAAACTGATGTTGCAACATAAAACGTGATGCCAGGGAAGATGTTATAACATCACCTGCTGACATAAAAATATTTGATTGTGCAGAAAGATAAATTACATAAATTCAAATAACACAATAAATTATTGACCCAGTTCAGTGTAACTCACCTACTCTAGGGGCTACCAAGCCAGGAAGGAAATCCTCTATATAGTATTAGTTAAAAGCATAAATAATCCCAGTTTACAACTTTCCTCCTAATCACTACCCCGTGCAACTTCTACCTATGAACCTTCTAGATATGAGTGAAGGTGGATAAAAACACAGGAAATGGAGGTTTGAATTGTGTTGATAGAAACTTTTTCCCTTTCTAACCAGTTGCAGAAGCCTTGAGCATGTAGAAACTAATAGCAGTAAGGAACACATTCATTTTTATACAAGTTCACCTTCTCAACTAAGACTACATCTTATCCACCCTCCTCTGGTGATTTTGCCTTAGAAAAGGACTTAATCCACTAATTTTGAAATATTGCAACAACCTCTAAGAGTCTAGAAAGACCTCTTAGCCCTCACAAGTATATAGACTATAAAGTCACTTGAGGAAACACCAATTCTAGAAACAACCTCTAAGAGTCTAGAAAGACCTCTCAAGTATACAAAATAGAAAGTCACTTGAGGAAAAACCAATTCTAGAAAGAATCGTTTTTCTAGGGATTTACAAGAGAACTTCTTATCAAGCAGATTTCTCCTACTTATAGTACATATTGTTTTGACAAACTTTTAAGCAACAACTTTGTTGTCTAAAACAATTTACATGAAGGTTTCTAAGAGATAAAACAATCAGATCAACAAATCTTGTGTTTTGAATGTTTCTACAAGATTGAATGTTATGGAGATTAGGTGCAAAACATCTTGTAGTCTTCTTATCTTTAACTTCTTTATTCATCAAGCTGAACAAAATAACTTCTTTCTTATTTTCTGGTTTCTGTTGAGATGCATTTTGATTTATATTTTGAATGACATCTTGTTGAGATATTCAATTTCTTTTCTTCAATGATCAAGACACGAGTATCGACTCATGTTTCTTATTTCTTGTTGATCCTTAATTATTTCTGTTGTTGTGATGTTTTTCTTTGTAAGATTGACAATCCTTTTTGGAACTAAGTTATGATGAACATGTTGCTTCTTAGTAAGCTATTAAAACTTTAATATGCTTAACGAAATATTACACTATAGAGTAACAACTCAATGTAAATATTGCATTTCAAAGTGATACTACTTTTTACTTTTGAAATTCTTGGTGATGTTCAGCCACCCATCGCACAACCACTTAGCCACGTAGCCACATGTATATAAAGTTACTTTATATAGGCTTTAGAGAATAGTACCGTTGAAGCACATAATGAATTGTAACATGTATTTTGCAATTTGATATGTCTTCCACAACTCAAACTTTGGAGATTTACACGTTAGCACAGAAGTGAATTAACATGTTCTTTTGAAAAAGTTTGAAAGAAAGGCCCGAAGGCGAAAAAAGTTTGTATTAGTTGATATCTTTTACCTTGAAGAAGGATTTGAAAGTTGTTAGATGTTTTATGCGTTTTTCAAGAAAAAAGAGTTTTAGCCTTAATGCAAGGATGCAAAAGAAAGAAAAACATCTAAGGGGGACTATCTAGTTCTATCCCTAATGTTACCATACAATGATTGACCCTAAGGTTAAGTTTTGAAATGTAAATTTCTACCCTATGTTAGCATGCATGGATACCTATTATAATGTCTAGCTTGAAAACTACTCTAATCGAGCGATCCTAAGGGGATCATAGTATAACAAATAAATAAGCAAACAAGTGCTTTGGCAAAAGCACACAAATATAAGTAGCACATACTGAATCAAAGGGATGGGGGAAACAAGATAAATGCTTTAGATAAGGGTAGTGTATCACCCGAAGCAAACAAGCGGGAGACAGATGAAATACAAAAGAAATAAATGTTTTAGCTAAGGGGAGCGGATCACCCGAAGCAAACAAGCGGGTAGCAAAGTATCAACAATGACCATTGCAAACTTCAGACAAAGTGTGGGGGTTGGTTGCAAACTCTTCTCCACATGAACGACTCGATACACAAGATCTGTACAAATCCAAAGCATCGGCGTACAACGTGAGCTAAGGATGACACATACTAGAATATCCGGGGGTCGATTTTAGACCCTCTCTGCTCGCCTCCTTTTGAGGACTTATCATCTGTAATATAATGCGGGCATAAATGTCAACACACGTGCGGAATACTTACTTCAAAGTTAGGATTTAAAAAAAACACAAATCACATACATAAAGTGGTGCCTGCTACAAGACTTTAAACAGTGACTTCGAGCGCACGCTCTTTATTTCCTACTTCTCATGAAATCTAGAAAGCAGTAAAATGCTAAAATGAGATAAACAAGAGGAATAACAAATGAATATCAATCTGTAGTAATGCGTATCAAAATAGAGAAACCCGACGATCTTCGTGAAAGCTCTCAATGCGCGCAAGCAATGAGAAAACTCTATAAAAAGTTGCTTTGCACAAGTGATCAAACAAGTTAATCTCCAAGCATTCCATACACAAAAGTTGCACCAGTACTATCACAAAGCTAGTCAATCACATAAACATTCGTTGAAACGTAAAGCCTATTTTTAGCATTTTTTCATGAACAAAAATTAGTGAAAGAATCTACAAAAAAAAGATTAATATTCATATATGTACTTTCATGTCAATTTGCAAACATAAAATTAAAATAAAATCAGGCAAGAGTTAACAAGAAAAAAAATCTACATAAAGCAAGAAAATATTAATAAGAAATTGAAACTGTGGAGGGTACTAGATCCAAAACAGTGGCGTGTATTACCAAGGGCGCTAGGCCCACTCAGAAACGATTCAATAGACCATTTTTGCCAAAATACTTTGTGCCATACCAAAATAAATCTGGGCCTAAAGTGCTTACCCATTCGGTCCAGGTCTAGTTGCATAACACAAACACAATTCCTATTATTCCAATTCCAATTAACAGAAATTGAAAAATAGAAAATATGGAAAGAGTGGAGATGGCGTCATTTGACTGAAGCTAGACTTACAATCTTTGACTATTGAACTCCTTCATGCACAAAACTATTCTCTCTCTCTCTCTCTCTCTCACACACACACACACATACACTATGGTGGCCAGACCCTTCTCATCTTCTCTATTTCTCTACTCTACCGTGAGATCCACACACAACCGCGACGTTTATCACCTTCACTCGACCATCTTTCATCTTCATCATTTCGCCTTACTTTTATTAATAACTTGAACATTCTTTAACGAACTCAATCTCCTCCATCTATTATTGATTCAAGGAAAACTCGCCTCTGCTTCGATCCTTCAACCGATGAAATGTTCTTTGTGAAATCTAAAGAACTCCGCAGAAAATCCGATACGCGATCTCGCCATGAGTTATGTTTCTTTACCCTTTCTTCTTTCTTCAATATTGAAATTCTGAACAAAGTTGTAATGTCGTGTTCTTGTTATAGGAAATGATGAAGATCGTTAAAGAAAGCCGTGTGATTGTGCTGAGGTGTTTTTTGTTGATGTAGAAAGATGAGATCTGGAATGAAGATGATTATGGAGCTGCGAGAGGCTTGGAGAGATGCGTGAATTTTTGATGATGAAGGTGTTGAATTCAGAGAGAGGAAGATTCAGTTATTGCAATGTTTAATCGAATATGATGAATAAATAACAGTGAAGCGGTTTCAAGAGATAATAAAGAGAGTTTAGGTTTTTGGTGTGATTCTTCAGAGATTGTTAAGAATTGTGAAGATGATGATGAGAGTGAAGTTGTTAAAGAATGGAAGTGAGAGAGAGTGAGAGAGAGTTTTAGATATTTTTTGTGATTCCTATGTGAATCTTGAAGAAGCCATCAATCTCAATTAAATTCTGTTTTTATAGTTCCTAAAAGTTTGTTGCAATTAACTGCATCTGAGCCCTCGATTTCGATTTCTGTTATAGATTGATATAGGAGATTGAAATTGACAGGAGTTAGTTATAGAGTTTAAAATTCTGTTGCAAGTTAGTTGTTTGAAAAATTATATTTTTTCAGTTGGAGGTTAGATTAGGGGTAGATTAATCAAGGCCCTTGAATTAAGAACTGGTTACCAAATATGGAGAGCTGAGATTTAAACAGATGAGTGAAACTTGCTTGTGAAGTTTTGTTGAGCTGCACTAAGTCACAGTACTCCTTTGCATATTTTTCCCTTTGTCTTTATTCAAAATGATGAGATGACAATTAGAGAAAACAATTTTCTTATGACATTTCACGGTTTACACACGTTCCTCTAATTTTCTTCTACCGTCTTTTTCTAATTTTAACTTCTGAACTGTTACCGATCTAATGCTCTTTTTTGAAGATGATTAATGATCTTGCCTAGTTCTTGAAAGGGATGGCCGAAACCTAACTTTCAGATGATAAAAAAATGGAGAGGATGATGAGGTAGCGATGAAAGATTTTCCAATTTTCCAGTCGGTCGAGTCCTCTCCCAGTAATATCTTTCTGATTCTGACTTTTTCAGAAGCTTATTTTCCTCTTCGCTTTCTCTGTATTCTGAAGAGACTTTGAGTAGGAAGATGATGATGAACTGTTAGGGTTTCGTATGCTTGATAGCTTATTTTCTGTGATATTATGTGATTTGGTTATGATTCTATTTATTGGGCTTGAATTTGTGATTTTGTTTTCACTTGTTGATTTTCTGTGAAAATTTGTTACTGCAATAACTTAATTTTGCTGAGATGCGATATTTGTGTTGGCTTGTTTGTTACTGTTGTGCAATTGTGATGTTTGATGGGTTTTGACCGAGTTCGTGTGCAATAATTTGTCTCTTCTTGATTTTGTCTTATTATGAACCAAACATTCTCTTTGGACTTGTTTGAGATTTGCAATATGATGGAATTAGGTCCATGATTAAACTTGAATATGATTTTTGTTATGAAACAAATGGATATGAGGCTTTATTGTTGGATTTGTAAACATGAGTGAATTCTAATTTTTCCACACTGTGATGATTTTTGGGGTGGAAATGCGACTTCCGTTTGTATTTTTGAACCTCTTTTGAATTTGTCTTTTTGTGGACCAATTTTGTTTGTGATTTTCAATAGACTTCAAATAGGCCCATGATTAGCATTTGAAATCTGACTTTTTTTGTGAAATGAAAGTAAGAGGCCCATTGTTGTGTTTGTGAATGTGATTGAATTCAAAACGCTCTAAATCTAATTCCTTCACAAACCCTTATGATGAGAATGAAGGAGCAACTTTGTTTGAATTCTTGTTCGTTTTCATGTTTCATTGTTTACTAACCAATTGCTTTTTCTTGTTTCATGTAAGCACACAATGGTGATAAGGGAGAAAATTAATGAAAAGAACGAAAGAGGTGGAAGAGACTTAAAGTGTTCAATGGAAACTTGAAGATGAAGAAAACTTCCTTGTAGCTTAAAACACATCATATCCATTAGGAACTTTTATAGTATTGTAATTTCAAGTAATTTGAACTGTGAGACTTGAAGACTTGTAATTGGTAGTAAAATAAGTGTATTCAAATTTGTACTTGTAACTTGAATAGTAAAGAAGCTTTGTGTAACTTGTAATTCTTGAGCATGAATGGAAAAAAAACAATTTAGAAAATTGTAACTTGCATCTTATTGGAATCTTGAATGAACTTGGTTCTAGGATTGGAAATTAAACCTCCTTAAGATTCATTTGAATGTTTAAATATTTGAATTGAAATCCATTTGAATCCTTGCTTAGAAATTGATAAGAAAAACTTGGAAACTTGAGATCAAGGTTTCTTTTGAACTTAAATGTGTGTTTCTTACTTGAATTAACTCTTGACATCATAAGCACATATGCTCTTGAACAAATTATATTTGATGTATCAAGTAAACAAAAATTAAACCAAATCTTTAATTATCAAATCCATGTTTAACTTGTACTTCAAGAAAATCCAAATAATACAATTTCAATATATTGTTTACAAGCTTCAAACAATCTTAATTCAACTAAATACCTTTAGAAAACTTGAACGCGTACCAACCTAATGACAATTCCAAATCCAATTCAACCCTTAATGGAAAAAAAACCAAATGCTCATCACATAAAATGAAGCTTCCAGTGAAAGTCAAGCCTTTATAAGAAAGTCCAAGATATGATTATAGAACTTTTAACACAAGTAATGAATGAAGAACCTTAATGCTGAAGGAAAGAGCCTGAAGATAGCCATAATGACTCAACCCTAATTCAAGATCCTTGAAGAAGAAACTTCTTAGCAAAACAAAGTAGCTGAAAAACCATAATTTAACCAATCTTCTAAACTAAAGATGCTTTGTATGATATGATGAAGATGATTCTTCGAAAAATTTACCCATAAAGATGTCACATGCTTCAGTAATCAAAACCTAGCACAAGAGCCAAAAGGGAGAAGAAAATGTGATTCAGTTTGAAGTACTTATAAGTCTTCAATTCTTTGAGGACACAAAGAATCAATGAGATATCTTGAGGCATGAGAAGCCTTGTAACTTGAATGAATAAAAAAATGAGGGTATGAGATCCATCTTGGACTGATTGTCAATAGAACCACTTCCACAACTTGAAGAAAACCAGGAATATAAGAATACCTTAATCCAGTCACAATGCTTGAATATGTATGATGAAACATAAGCCACAATCAAGAGGGTATATTTTGGGGTACAACAGCTGTCCCTATTCAATAATCTTAAGCTTGATAAGTGAGAAAAGCAATAACTTTCAAACATTCAGAGTTGAAGATGATTGAATATGAAAGAACCCAAAAATTTACACCCTTGAAAAAAATAAGCAAAACCCCCCAAAGACAAAGAATTCTAGAAAATGCGGGACTTAGAAGGTACCAAACAAAATTTGATTTAGCAAGCAGAGGTTTAATGAAAACTGGCCCTTCAAAGACATGCGTCAGAATGAAGCTGTAACGCAGACTTTAACAAAGTTGAGACAAAACTCAAACTTAGAAGAGTAGATGAAACTAAACTCCAAAATAATGTGTCAGGATAAAACCAGACCATAAAAGGGGTGAGATAAGAATCAAACCACAGAGAATAGGCAAAGCTAAACTCTGGAAAAGTACGCAGGGAAAAGTGACTAGAGCACATGATTCTAGGAGCACCTGCTAGTCTTAAAAGAGACCGGTCAACCAAGGATACAACAAACGAAAGCTGGAGTACCATAATCAAACACTATTAAAGGCTCAGTAAACAAAAATTTATAAATATCTAAGAAATGACATCAAACGAGAGAAAACTCGACTCGACAATACTAGAAGATCAAAACTTTCTAGAAACGAGTACTAGGACAAAACAAAATGGATTTCACGCATCGGTAATGAGGAAAAACTTGACCCATAGCAAAGTGATGAGAGTGCATGTTTCTCAAAGCACCTACTGGTCTCTAACCATGGGTAAATAGTAAACAAAAACAAACTAAAATCCGAATAGGTATAAAAGAAACATCTCAAGTCGATGGACACAACACACGAAAGCCGTAATACAGTAAACAAACACTGTCAAAGGTTCAATAATAAAAAACTGATAGACGTCCAAAGAGTGAGATATGGGTTTCGACCAAGGACATGGTAAATGAACACCGATAGAAGATTCTAGGGAAAGAAACAAAATAAGACGACACTCGACTCATTATAACTAGTTAGGCGAGACAAACTAGATGAGTACCAGGGAAAAACTGGATTTCATGCACATGCAACGAGATCAAGACTCGACCCAAAGCAAAGTGATGAGAGCGCAAGTTTCTCAAAGCACTTGATAGTCTTGGACCATGGATAAGCAGTAAACAAAAATTGATAGAATAATCCAAGGAACAAAGGAGACTAATTTCAACCAAGGACGTAGTTAAATGAACACTGTAAAAGACTCGGTAAATGAAAACTGATAAAGGATTTAGTAATCAAACAATGATAGAAGTCCAAGGTATGAAAACAAAAACGAGATGACACTCAACTCATTATAACTAGTTAGACAAAACTAAACTAGATGAGTACCATAATGAAAATTGGATTTCATGCGCGGGTGAGGAGACAAAACTCAAAACTCGACCCAAAGCAAGGTGATTAGCGCGTACTATTGAAAACCTACTGAAGATGTATATCAGGACGAAACTGGTATTCAAAAGGTACATCAATAGACATTGGAATGAAACGACGAGGTTAATAAAGACTAAACCCGAGAAAACTACGCTAGGGTAACACTAAACTACAATCAAGAGTAAACACTCAATCA